TTAAATAAGAAAAAAACAACGAAAATTCACTTAGAAAAAGTATGCGTACAAACTAAAAACCCACTGTTCTTAATCGTCGTGTGAAGCTTTTAGTACCGTTAAACAGCATATTACGGTAAAAAAAAGCATTAAAGAATGTCAATCACGTGTTGGTTTGCAAATTTTGTCATTAAGTTGATAGATTTCGTCATGGGCAGGAAAACTAAAGAGATTGATCCAGATTTGAGGAAACTCATCGTGAAATTACGCGATGAAGGGCAATCTTTTAGGGAAATTGGCGAAATTGTTGGCAGAACGCATTCTTCTGTCCAAAGGGTAGTCAATAACTTTAATTTGACTGGCTCAGTTCAGTCAAAGCCACGCTCTGGGAGGCCCTCAAAGCTGACCGAGAGAGAGAAGAGGGACGTGCTGAAGACGGTGCGGCTAAACCCCGCATTAACTGCAGCCAAGATTAATCAGGAAGTTAAAGAGAAATAAAAAAAAAGAGCTCCACGAAGACACCGTAAGAAAATTTTTAAAGAAAAATGAATTAAATGCCCGTGTTGCTCGAAGGAAGCTACTTATCTCTGAAGCAAATAAAATCAAACGGATGGATTTCGCCAGAAAATACTTGGAAGTCAGTCCTGAGTACTGGAACCAAGTGATATTTAGTGATGAGAGCAAATTCTGTATATTTGGTATAAAGGGGAGAAAGCTTGTGTGGCGAAAGAGAGGCACTGCGTTCGACGTACAAAATCTAACTACAACCGTTAAGCACGGCGGTGGTGGCGTAATGGTGTGGGGGTGTATGGCAGCAAGTGGAGTGGTCAATTTGGCTTTTATTGAGTCCACAATGAACCATATGGATTACCTCCATATCTTAAAAAACAATTTACACCAAAGCGCCAGACAATTGGGTCTTGGGGAGGACTTTGTCTTTCAACATGACAATGATCCCAAACACACAGCTCACAATGTCAAGCTCTGGTTGCTCTATAATACCAGACACCAGCTTCATTCGCCTCCCCAGTCACCCGACCTTAATCCCATAGAGCATTTATGGGATTTTTTGGAGCGCAGGATCAGAGACCGAATAATTACTTCAAAGGACATGCTCAAATCGGTTCTGATGGAGGAGTGGCTCAAAATTCCGGCTGATTTCACCCGGAAATTGGTGGCATCGATGCCAAAACGGTTGGAAGAGACCAAGAAGCGAAAGGGGTATCCAACCTCATATTAATTTTTAAATTTTCATTGAAAAAAAGTTATTTTTGGTTTTGTTTTTTAGTTTGTACGCAAACTTTTTCTAAGTGAATTTTCGTTGTTTTTTTCTTATTTAAAATATAAAAAAAAACTGTTTAATATTATTTAAAAAAAATTGTTGTTAAATGTGTGTTATTAAATAGTTTTTCACTAAAAAATATAATATTGATAATAATCCTATTATTTATCATATTTATTCTCTATCAAAGTCGCACGTTAGGCCTGTACGCATAGTTTTTCTAGCAAGTGTATGTATATTCTTGATCAGGGCGACAGGCTGAGTCGATTTGGCCCTGTCCGTCTGTCTGTCCGTCTGTCCGTCCGTCCGTCTGTCCGTATGTTTGAACGCGTCGATTTCCGAAGATATAAGAGCTAGAGACTTCAATTTTCAATTTTTTTTAAATGACCGTATATACAGCGCGGACGTCGAGTTTGCTTTTAAAATTCGATAAATCATCCCGTTATGTTTTTATCGAGTAAAAACATTCAAGTTCAAATCAGATGCCTCTATAGGTAATTGTGAATGATTTTTCATTTTTTTAAATTTCTCAAATATTCAATATAATATGTAGATCATTATGCTGAAGTTTCATTAAATTCCGTTCAGTCAAAAATTAATAAAAAATAATCAAATATTTGGCCAATTAACAAACGCACGTGCAGCAGCTACAACAGCATCGTATGCGTGTGCACACATACATTCAAACTTCTTCTAGAACATTCTTTGAATCACATCAGCTGTTAGTTTCGTTTAGTTTTGGTAAATGGCGCAGCAGCAGTGAATCTATTTGAGTTTTGCCACCACCACTTGGCGAAGTGAGGTGGCGTAGTGTGTTAGCTGCATGACGATCGATCGAGAAGTCGCGGTTCAAATCCCGATCGGTGCAACTGATGTTAACTTTTTTAATTGTTTCAAAATATTTTTATATTTTATTAAATGAGTTTGGTATTTTATTTATATTTTTAAATACATCGAAATTGAAATTTCAGACATACTAAATGGGCATTTTTATTTGTTGGGTTCAGGGTAGTATCTAGTCGAGCACTCTCGACTAGAGTTTTCTTACTTGTTATTAGTTGGGTTCAGGGTAATATCTAGTCGAGCACTCTCGAATAGAATTTTCTTACTTTTTATACCCTGAACCCATTTTCAATCGGAAATCAGGGTATAATGGTTTTGTTGAAATGTATGTAACAGGCAGAAGGAGGCGTGGCAGACCCCACAAAGTATATATATTCTTGATCAGGGCGACGAGCTGAGTTGATTTGGCCCTGTCCGTCTGTCTGTCCGTCTGTCCGTCTGTCCGTCCGTCCGTCTGTCCGTCTGTCCGTATGTATGAACGCGTCGATTTCAGAAGATATAAGAGCTAGAGACTTCAAATTTTTTTTTATAATGTCCGTAATTACAGCGCGCATATCAAGTTTATCATTAAAAATCGATAACTCATCCCGATCTTTTTTTATCGATAAAAACCCATATCGAAAACCAGTTATAAAATTATATTTTCTACACCTTTATTGCTAGAGTTTTCAAATTTTTAATGTATGCTTATATGCAATTTATACAATTTCGGTTTTTGTTAAAATTTACTCTTCACCCTTAAATTCACCCCCTCACCATCACTTTTGTAAAAAGCGTATTTCAAATACTAGAGACTTGTGCTTTGGCAATTACATGCATATCCATGTTATAATTATAATCTGAAAGTTTCATGAAGATCGTACGTCCGCAAAAAAAGTTATTAAGCAATTAAGTTCTCATAGTAAGCGGTCACTGCTGCCCATGCGTGTTTTTGCTTGTGTGTGTATATGTATGTAATTGTTTGAGTATGTGTGTGTGTGTGTGTGTGTGTGTGTGTATGTGTGTGTGTGTGTGTGTGTGTTTATGTATGCCTGTGTGTGCGTGCGTGTGTGTGTGTGTGTGTGTGTGTGTGTGTGTGTGCGTGTTTCTTGTGTAAGCTGAAAGACGCGAAAAATTATTGAAATAGCTATTACTCCAAGGGTTCAGGGGATCTCGTAGTCGAGTAGTCTCGACTAGAGCTTTCGTACTTGTTTTTTTTTTGCTTTCCTTTAATCTCTTTCTGTAAGTTGTTAAGTTTGGGTCGCTTTTTTGTGCGTGCTAAAATGAACATTGAAGAAAATGTTGAAACTAATTCCGAAAATGTAGTATGATTTAATTACAATTATGATTGTTGATATATATTTACTGAGGGACCACTGTACATACATACAGTGGCTCACAGCTTATTTGACCCAACATGAAAAAAAAATTTCATATGCTCATTACTTTATACCCAATACAAATTTTTGAAAAATTCAAACGTAGAATTGTTATTTCAATATTAAATTAATGGAAAACATAACTTTTTTATTCTTATTTTAAAAAATAACAGTAAGAAAGTAACAAAAACTAAAACAACTCATATATTCAATGTCACAGCTTATTTGACCCAAACTGTTTGAAGGACAGTTACAGTCGCGTAAAATGGAAATTAACGGTACTTTTTTAGGTTTTGTTTTGATTATTGAATTCGCAATGTGAATTTGAAGTATTTTTACCATTCGAAGTGATATTTTTTTTAAGAAAACACGTGTTTGCAAAAATGGGAAAGCGCACAACAATACAGCAGCGGGAATTGGTGCTACACCACTTTAGAAATGGAATTTCGCGGCGCAAAATTGCAGCGATAGTTAATTTACCCAAATCTACCGTAAAAAACATAATAACCCGATTTGTTTTTGAACGGCTCCAAACAAAATTTTCAATGGCACAGATGAGCGATACATTGTACGCCAAATAAAGGAAAACCCCAAGTTATCCGCTCTAAAACTGGCTAGTCTTATGGAGCACCAGCTGGGGAAGTCAGCTAGTGCAGAAACGATTCGTCGTATACTCCGAGACCATGATTTACATGGTAGAATTGCTCGCAAGAAGCCTTTCATTAGTAAGAAAAATAAGGAAAGCCGGCTCCGATTCACTAAAGAGTACATAAACAAGGACACCAACTATTGGAACAAAGTCATTTTCGCGGACGAGTCCAAGTTTAACATATTTGGTTCCGATGGGAGCCCCTACGTCTGGCGACAAGCGAATACCGAGCTACAAGAGAAGCACCTGAAACCCACAGTAAAGCATGGTGGAGAGTCTGTGATGGTTTGCGCCTATATGTCTGCCTCTGGAGTGGGAAAACTAGCTTTTATTGAAAGCACCATGGATAAGAATATGTATTTAAACGTTTTGAAGCAAAATCTTCTACAAAGTGCTGAATATCTGACCCTGAAAGAGGATTTTACATTTCATCAAGACAACGACCCTAAGCACACATCGGATGTCGTTCAGTCTTGGCTGGTATGGAACTGCCCGCATAACCTCAAACCGCCAGCACAGTCCCCAGATCTTAATGTAATTGAAAATTTATGGTCCATTTTAGACACCAATATCAGGTCCCGGAATATTTCCAACAAAAATGAGTTAAAAACCGCATTAGTCGAGGAATGGGGGAAAATCCGGTGGCTTCAATGCCTGCAAGACTTAAGGCTGTATTGGCCAACAAGGGGGTCATACAAAATATTAAATTTTAAAAAAACTAGGCATAATTTTGAAATTACAGTCTAAAATAAGTAATGGGTCAAGTAAGCTGTGACATTGAATATATGAGTTGTTTTAGTTTTTGTTATTTTCTTACTGTTATTTTTTAAAATATTAATAAAAATGTTATGTTTTCCATTAATTTAATATTGAAATAACAATTCTACGTTTGAATTTTTCAAAAATTTGTATTGGGTGCAAAGTAATGAGCATATGAAATTTTTATTTCATGTTGGGTCAAATAAGCTGTGAGCCACTGTATGTATTGCTTTCAAATTAGCATGGAATATTGGCAAACTCACATACCATCCAGCAATATGATGCGATCAAGACCAAATTGCTGGAAGGAATATATAAATTTTAGAACAAAAGAGGACGAAGTGAAGTCTAGAATACGCTAGGGATGGTAATGGATGAGAATGGAGAAGAATTAAAAAATATTGTTGGATGCAAAAAATGTTTCAAAATTCTGAAGTACTCTAATTGTACTTCGAATTTAGTTAAACACAAATGCTGTGTAGCAGCAAAAAACTCGTTAACTGAAACAGACATCCCTGCAACACATGTCGGTCCAGAAACCAAAAAGCTTATTTTAGAAGCTGCTACTGAATGGACCGTCAAAAATTGTCGGCCCTTTAATATCATCAAAGACGATGGGTTAACGAAATTACTTGCAATATTTACTAAAGTTGGAGCAAAATATGGTAGTGGAGTAAATATAGATGAAATTACTCCCCACCCGTTGACAATCTCGAGAAATGTGTCAGAGCTCTACAATTTAGAGTTTGAATATATAAAAGCAGATGTTATTAAAGCAAAAACATCCGGCTATAGCATCACATCTGATATCTGGACGGACGAGTTCCTAAAGAGATCATATATATCGTGCACAGTGCACTATATTAGACGCGGTGCAATGCTCACCCGCCTGCTAGCACTGAAGTCGATGGGAGATGAATCAAATACAGGTAGAATAGCTTGATTAATATTCCAATAGCTCTTTTGAAATAATGTTTATTATTTTAGGCGCAAACATTAAGAATAAAATCACAAAAATTTTGAATGATTATAATTTGGCAATGGATGACGACAAAGCCATAGCAGTCACTGACCGAGGCTCCAACATGATTAACGCATTTAAAAGGGGCAGTCACATTCATTGCATAAATCACCTATTAAATAATGTTGTGTAGAAAGCAATTAAAGTTATTTTAGAACTATCTGACCGGTTACTCAATTGTAACAAGATAGTAAAATATTTTAAAAAATCTGGGATAAATTCCCAACTCAATGTATCTCTCAAAAGCTTTTGTCAGACTAGGTGGAATACAGAGTATTACACTTTTTTTCATTATCACAAAACTGGGAAAAAATCACTACAATTTTAAAAGAGAAAAATGAAATTTTTCGGTTGGATAATGTAAACATTGACAATGTTAAATCTATTGTAAAATTTTTAGAACATTTGAAAGGAAGGAGAAGACTATTCGACACTATATTCAGTCATACCATCCATAAATTTTTTAAAAAGAAAAACTAAAGTTGACTCAAGCGATACTGGTTTAGCTAGCCAATTAAAATCTTCTTTAACTAGCCTACTTCAAACCGTTGTGGAACCTTATATTACGGACTATCACAAAATTGCTTTGTTTTTATTTCACCCCACAAACAGATTGGTTAGTTTGAGTAACGCTGAAAAAGAACGAATAGTTGAACAGTGTAAAGAATTAATGGCAAACTATTGGTTAGGAAGCGACTCTGACCAAATAATATTGAAAATGACAGAGGAGCAAGAAGTATATATTGACGATGTTCAAACATGAACATACATTATAATAAAACAAGTAAGAAGACTCTAGTCGAGACTGCTCGACTAGGAGATACCCTGAACCCTCTAATCTGATATTCTCATCACTCTGCACATATACATACATACATACGTACATATTAGAACGCGCTCTGCTTACTGCGCAGTAAGCGGCGACTGCGCTTGGGTTGCGCTGCGGTGTTGGCAACATTATAAGAATTTATTTGTTGAATAATTTAAATTCTAGACGTACAATCTAAATGCAACTTTAACAGCGTAATCATATGGTAGAAATGTATGCACATGCCAAAGCACAAGTCTCTAGTGCTTGAAATACGCCTTTTACAAAAGTGATGGAGAGGGGGTTGATATAGAAGAGGGGGGTTAATTTTAACAAAAATCGAAATTGTATAAAATATATATCAGTCTACATTTAAAATTTGGAAGCTCTAGCTCTAAAGGTGTAGGAGATATAATTAAATAACTAGCTTTCGATAAGGTTTTTGATCGATAATAAAATATCGGGAGTAGTTATCGATATATAAAGAAAAACTTTATATGCGCGTGATATACACGGACCTAGGAAACAATTTCAAGTCTCTCGCTCTTATATCTTCTGAGATCGACGCGTTCATACATACGGACGGACGGACAGACAGACGGACAGGGCCAAATCGACTCAGCTCGTCGCCCTGATCAAGAATATATATACTTTGTGGGGTCTGCCACGCCTCCTTCTGCCTGTTACATACATTTCAACAAAACCATTATACCCTGATTTCCCATTGAAAATGGGTTCAGGGTATAAATAGAGACAATACTCGATAGCCTGCGCGTTATCCGACACAAAGTAATAAATATGTCACCCCTTAGTTGTAGTTTGACGAAATGCCACTTAATAGTGACAATTTAACTGAATGGATTAACTCTGAACTTCATACATACAAGTCTCTCAAAGTTTTTTACTCAGATGGGTTTAACGTTTTAGAGTCCTCCACTTGCTCCTTACCACAACTCGCGACCCACCTATGCCCAGATGATCAGGAGTAACCCCCATGACGGAAGCAATTGGCCCTCAGTAGGACACTTCACTGATCGCGGTCATACCCCCAGACAACAAACCCGTTCCACCTACCAGCCCACATCACCCACTGTACAAACAAGCCCCGAGTTTCCGGCACTCATTGCCTCTCTTAATACCCTGAACGAGACAGTAGTCAGACTAGTCAAGATGCAGGAAGAAATGTTGAGCATGCAGTCGTCCATGTTGTCCATGGCAGACATGCTTGATATATGGCAATCCTTGGACCGGAAATTCCTGATCTGTGGCGATTGGAACGCTCACCACCATTCTTGGGGATCAGCGAGAAGCACTGCTAGGGGTAGAGACCTCTTCAACCTCACGCTGGCCACATCCACACAGATCATAGCCACGGGCAGCCCCACTCGATTCCCAGACCATAATAGGCAACGGCCTTCCTGTCTGGACTTTGGTCTTTATAAGGGCATACCTCAATGGAAGCTGAAAATTGCCTTTTATAACGATCTCGGCTCAGAGCATATGCATCTGGTAATCTCGCTGGATGCCTCTATAAAATGCTACCCTCAGGCCGAAAGACTGATTAATAGAAATGTCGACGTAAACCTATTTAAGTTGATCCTCAACAATATGATGCATCCCGAATTGGAGTTAAAGTCGGTACAGGATGTTGATGACGCTCTGCACCTGTTCAATGCAAATATTCGCCGCGCTGCCAAGGATGCGCAAAAGACACAGCCTAGTCATATCCCCCGCCAAGCCGGATCCTTGTTACTCACTTCAGAGCTTCGTCATCTACTGCAGAAAAAGCGTCGCTTAAGGAAAATCTACCAGCGTACTCTACATCCGGTAGACAAGTCCAACTGGAACAGAGCAGCAAACTCACTAAGATCGGAGTTGGCCCGACAGCGCTCACAGATGTTTGAGGACATGCTTGAAAATATGTCGACTGCAAAAGACGCTAAATTCAACCTGTGGAAAGCCACCAGAAGTAGCAGACGTCAAACCATACGGCAAGCCCCCATCAAAAATGGCCCGGATAGCTGGTGTCGATAAGATGAAGAGCAAGCTGAGGCTGTTGCCACCCACTTAGAGGCCCGCTTCCTGCCGTTTGCTCTAGCTTCACAAGAAGATACACAATCCACCGAGCAAGCCCTGTTGACCCCACTACAGCTCGATCCACCGGAGGAGCCGTACAATTTTGATGAGGTGGCATCCGTAATCAAACACTTAAACCCAAATAAGGCCCCGGGACACGACAATATCTGCAACCGCACACTCAGAACACTGCCGGAGAATGCTATCCTCGTTATGGTATTAATCTTTAATGCCATAACGAGGCTTCAGTATTTTCCAGCAGTGTGGAAGATTGCGCTTGTCGTGATGATCCACAAGACTGGCAAGCCTGAGGAAGACCCTGCTTCATACCGACCTATCAGTCTCCTTCCTTCTTTATCGAAGGTTTGGGAAAGACTGGTCATCCGTCGGCTGGTATCAGTAGCGGCTAGAAAACTCATTCCGGTTCAGCAGTTTGGTTTCCGCGCTGGACACGGTACTACCGAGCAACTGCACAGAGTGACGGATCACATCCTCAGGGCTTTCGACAACAAAAAGCACTGTAATGCCATTTTTCTGGACATCGAACAGGCCTTCGATAGGGTATGGCACCCAGGTCTGCTGCAGAAGATTAAGGAACAGCTGCCCTCGCACTACTTCGCTCTGATCCTACTTCTTTCAGAGTGAAAGTTAAATCGAGTCAGTCCTCCACATACTCGATTGCCGCTGGCGTACCACAGGGCAGTATCCTCGCTCTTCTTCTTTTTATACCCTGAACCCATTGAAAATGGGAAATCAGGGTATAATGGTTTTGTGAAAAAGTATGTAACGGGCAGAAGGAGGCATGGCACACCCCACAAAGTATATATATTCTTGATCAGGGCGACGAGCTGAGTCGATTTGGCCCTGTCCGTCTTTCTGTCCGTATGTTTGAACGCGTCGATTTCCGAAGATATAAGAGCTAGAGACTTCAAATTTTTTTCAAATGTCCGTAATTACAGCGCGGATATCGAGTTTATCATTAAAAATCGATAACTCATCCCGATCTTTTTTTTATCGATAAAAAACCGTATCGAAAACCAGTTATAAGATTATATCTTCTACACCTTTATTGCTAGTCTCCAAATTTTTAATGTATTCTTATATGCAATTTATACAATTTCGATTTTTGTTAAAATTTACCCCCCACCCCTATATTCACCCCGTCACACTCATGTTTTTAAAAAGCGTATTTCAAATACTAGAGACTTATGCTTTGGCAAATACATGCATATCCATGTTATAATTATAATCTAAAGTTTCATGAAGATCGTCTGTCCACAAAAAAAGTTATTAAACAATTAAGTTCTCATAGTAAGCGCACACTGCCGCCCATGCGTGTTTATGCTTGTGTGTGTATGTGTGTATAAATGTTTGTGTATGTGTGTGTATGTATGCCTGTGTGTGCGTGCGTGCGTGTGCGTGTGTTTGTGCGTGTGTTTGTGCGTGTTTCTTGTGTAAGCTGAAAGACGCGAAAAATAGCTATTGCTCCATGGGTTCAGGGGATCTCGTAGTCGAGCAGTCTCGACTATAGCTTTCTTACTTGTTTTGTATTGCAAACAATTAATGGACATTCTGTATGTGCTTTGTGTGCGTGCTTTAGAGACGAGGCTTTTGCGTGATTCGTTAGTGACGCGTGCTTATCATCTCTGACATCGGCAAGTTATTAATTTAATGGTCGTAGTCTTTTTTAAGACTTATAATAATATACAAATATTTAATGTTAATTAATAAATTTTTTATGTAAAATACTATTATTAATGTCAGAATTTATATATTTATTATTAATAAATTTACATGCATGCAACGTAATTTATATTATTTTTAAGTAAATAAATATTTCATATATATTTTAAAATATAAATATATACATATACATATATACATATATATTATTATTAAGCTGAACAAATATTAAAATGCCAAGAACTAAGAGAATTTCAGCTTCAGCTAGGTCTCAGAGACAACGAAATAGAAGTTTGTTAAATATGCTGAGCAGGAATGAATTGCTAATTTAGAGTCTTTACGCGAGCGTAGAGAAAATGAAGAGTTTAGTCAGAATGAAAGAAATTTAAATAGACAGCGAAATCAGGTTCGTAGTAATATTGTTTTGAATAGAATTGCTAATCATAGCCAAAATTCCTTTCTGCGAGCTTCTTTACGAACAAATTCTCAGACTAGACAGTTAGACAACAGGCGGAATTAGCTAACACTTTGCGCCGATCCCGACGCAGACAAGATCCGGTTTACCGTGCGATCGAACAAGGACAGAATACTGT